ATTCTTTAAATTGTTGTTCCTCATAAAATGATGCAACAGGTTTTGAAGGAGGCTTATGATTCTCCTACAGGGGGACATTTTGGAGTAAATAAAACTCTTGAAAAGATTCGGAAGCGTTTCTTTTGGGCGACATGCAAAAATTGATGTAGAACATTGGATCAGGATCTGTAAAGTTTGTGTAGCTAAAAAAGATCCTGCTGGAAAGGGAAAAACTATTTTTCAGATTTATAATGTAGGTGCTCTCTTTGAGAGGGATGTGTTAGGCCCCTTACCATTTTCATCTTCCGGGAATAAATATTTATTAGTAGTTACTGATTCTCAAAATGGATGGAAGCTTTTCTACTGAGAAATATCAAAGCTAGTATGGTGGCAGAAGTCTTTGTAAGTCAGATAGTATCTATAAGCATGGAGTGCCATTGGAAATACATACGGATCAGGGAAGGAATTTCGAATTGCGAATGTTCCAGGAGTTATGTTGAATTTTAGGAATAAAGAAAACTCGCACTACTCCTCTTCATCTACAATCCTACGGTCAGGTGGAACAACAACATTAGACTTTGTTAAATTAATTGTTTAAATTTATTTCTGTAAATAAAATTATTTATCTAAATTTGTTTCAGAAAACCAGAGAGATTGTGATTATTGGGTCCCTTTAGGATTATTAGCTTATTAGATCTTCTAAGCATGAGGTTACAGGTTTTACTCCTGCAGAGTTGAATTTAGGTAGAGAATTAAGATTGCCGTTAGATCTTCTTCGTGGTTGTCCTCCTGAAACCGATAATGTCCCGATTTCCCCAAGAAGGAGGATATTCATTTAGATTGAGGGAAAGAATGATTTATATCCATAATTTTGCGAGTCACGTATGAATTTAAGGGACAAAAATAAATTACAATCGGAAGGATAGGTGACTAAATTTTGTGCCTGGCCAGAAAGTTTGATTTTATAATCCTCAAAGAATGTGAGGTAGGGCTCCCAAATTGCAAAGTAATTGGGAAGGACCTTATAGGTGGTTAGGAAAATGAACGATGTAGTTTATTGCATTCAAAAAACGAAAAGACATAAAAAAATTAAGTACATTTAAATAGATTAGCTCCATTTAAGGAAAGGAAAAAAAATTTGTAAGGAAAAGAATCGAAGCTGAGCCTATAAGTGTGTAAAAAGAGGTATATAGATATTTCATTTCTTTGGAAGATAATTAATTTGAAAAGAAGTTATTTAAGTAGATACTGGTTATGTTTATGTTTCTTGAGATTTATTGACATCACTTTAAGAGGAAGATTTTCTATTGCCCGAACATCCGGCTAAGGAAATCTTTTTTTTCCGCCTCACGCTCGGTTTTTTTGAATCGTGTTTTTTCGAAGGACTTAGGGCAAATGCTGAGGCGGGAACTTGTATCCATAAGGATGAAAGGGTCTAAGGAAGCTTCCTCCTCCCTTGTCCGAAGATTCAAGAGAGAAGTGCGCAAGACACAAGCACAAGATAAAGAAGCATCACGAAAAAAGAAAGAAGAGGGAAAATAACTTCGCAACGGCACGGAAATGACTTCCGGGAAGGGTGAAATTTAGGACTGGTTCGGCGCTCGGTAATCTGCAGCAGCAGCTCAGGGTAGAGCAGGAAGCCGACAGATTTCCTGAGAACTTCACCATGGAAGAAGAAGCTGACTTTTCTGCGAGGGAGTTCCCTGGAATTATAGGGACCACAATTTCAAAGAGGAGGGGGGTAGTTTTACGATCGAACAGTATTCCGCTCGATACTATCCTCATAACGATTTCTTACCTGAAGATTGTTCCTTATCGTGGTCGTCAAGCGGTCGTCAACCATTGTTGTGACAAGAGAGTCGACAGCGCGACACGAGAGTTTGAGCCGTATCGTGGTGAATTCTGATTTTATTGTGAAAACTCTTGTTATTACTCCCGTGCTTCAGTATATAATAAAGTGTGTTTCTTTCTTAAACTGTTCTTCCTTTCCTGGCGCGAGTGTAACGCGAGTGAACTCGCCGCGAGTGTGACAATATAATAGTAGATTATAATATATAATTTTAATATAGTATTTAAACTAATATAGTATTTAAAACAAAAAAACTTTAAAAATAAATAATTAAGTTTGTATCCGTTTCAATCATTATTTGTTTGCTATAATTATATAAAATTGAATAAAAAATATACATAGAAAGTTTAATAAAGTTATTATAATATATATATATATACACTATAAAATACCTTTTTTTTAAAAAAGGTAAAAAAGGGTGTCAAGTATAGTGGAATACTTCAAAATGTCTAATATCATTATAAAATTACCTTCTTTTTTAAAAAAAGATAAAAAAAGGGTGTCAAGTATAGTGGATATTGCCAACTCAAATGATTGTGTAAAATTTATATAAAAGATTTGATATCAATAATTGGCGCCAAGTTATAATCTTACAAACATGAAGCTACAAGTCTATTTTAGTCAAATTATATATTTCAATCGTATAAAAGATTTGATAAACCACTGTTTTAAAAAAATAAAACTCAAATAGTAGTTTCTTTAATTTAAA